ACAAGCCAGGGTTGCACTGCCAGTGTGCTTTGTTCCTGTCCCTATTCTACCATCCCAGGCCTCTGTGTCTTCCAGGGTTCCCGTCTCTTCCTTGCTGTTTTCCAGCGTTCTCCCTTTTATTGCTCTTCTGGAAATGCAGCTATGCACTGTTGCTTTGGTTCTTTGTGGAGGAAGAGATAAGCTTTGGACACCTCTGTTTGGCCATCTGAGAATCCATCCCAACTTGCAGTCTTCAGTAATCTCTTTTTTGTATATTTAAAAATCTATAGAATCCTAAACTGGATACTACCGTTTCAGACTATCATAATCTTTTTTTATCTTTAAGATTTACATATTTATTTGAAAAGTAGAATTACAGAGAAGGAAAGACAGAGCACTTTAATCCACTGGTTCTCTCCCCAAATGGTCGCAATAGCTAGGGCTGGGTCAGGCCAGAGCCAGGAGCCAGGAGCTTTATCTGGGTCTCCCACATGGGTACAGGAGCCCAAGCACTTGCGCCATCCTCTGCTGCTTTCCCAGGTGCATTAACAGGGAGCTGGATGGGAAGTAGAGCAGCTGGGACTAGAATTTGTGCCCATTTGGGATGCCAGCACTACAGGCAGTGGCTTATTCTGCTATGCCACAGTGCTAGCCCCTATTATTTAAAAATTTGAGAGATGGAGAGCTCCCATTCACTGGTTCACTCCCCAAGCACTTGCAACTTGCAGGCCTGAAGTAGTTCAAAGCTGGGAGCCAGGAACTCAATTTAGGTCTCCCATGTGGATGGCAGTAACCTGACTCCTTGAACCATCCATCACCTGCTGCTTCCCCAGGTTCTCCTTAGTAGAAAGCTGGAATCTGGAGTGGGGCCAAGACTCGAACCAAGAAACTGACCTGGGATGCAGTTACCCAAACCAGCATCTCAGTTGCGAGGCACATGTCTACCCCTTTACAGTTTCTTGATGAATGAGTGTTGGAATTTATTACGTGCTTCCACCCCCACCCAGCATCTGTTGATAGGATCATGTCATTTTTCTTGTTTAGCTTGTTAACTTGATGAATTAATTAATTTTTGAATGTTGACCCAATCTTGTATACGTGGGTTAAATCACATTTGGTTATGGTGCATAATTTTCTTCTAATATTTTGTTGAGAATCCTTGCATTGATGTTCATGAGAAATTAGTCTGTTTGCTTAAAATGACTTTTTCTGGTTTTAGTATTGGAATTCAGAATGCTTTTTTTTTTTTTTTAAAGTATTTGTTTACTTGAGAGAGTTACACAGAGGTGTTCCATCCACTGGTTCTCTCCCCAGATGGCCACAACAGCCCTAGCTGAGCTGATCCGAAGCCAGGAGCTTCTTCCAGGTCTCCCACATGGGTACAGCGGCCCAAACACTTGGGCCATCTTCTGCTTTTCCAGGCCATCAGCAGGGAGCTGGATTGAAGTAGAGTAGATGGGTGGATGCTTAACCTACTACACCTCAGTGCTGGCCCCAGAATGTTTTTAAGTCAATAACTTAGAAGCTCTAAAGTTTTTCTTGATCATTCATTCAGCTACTAGAATGTGACATCTATGTTACTTGTAATTTACATGAATTTTTACAAGATTTATTTGAAAGGCAGAGTTAGAGGCAGATGGGAAGTGGGGGGACTGATCTTCCATCCCCTGGTTCACTCCTCAAGTGGCCTCAATGGCCAGAACTGGGCTGATCTGAAGCCAGGAGTCAGGAGCTTCTTCCGGATCTCTCACGTGGGTACAGGGGCCCAAGGACTTAGACCATCTTCTGCTGCTTTCTCGGGCCATAGCAGAGTTGGATCGGAAGTAGAGCAGCGGGGACTCGAACTGGTACCCATGAAGGATGCCTGCACTGCAGGTGGTGGCTTTACCTGCTATGCCAGAGTGTCAGCCCCTACATTAATTTTTAAATTAAGCATTTTATTTTTAGGTAATTGTGTATTTTCCCCTTAATGCCTGGCAAACACTAATCCATTTCTATAATTTTATCATTTAAAAATTCTTCATAAGTGGACTTAAAATATGTACACTACAGTGACAACTCCAATTATTTCCTTTTTATAACATCTCACTCTAGAAGACTCTTAACCTGAGGGTACAGGTGGGAGGACTATCCATGGATTAGATATAGGAAAACTTACACTATCTTGAAATTATTTGCAAAATTTCATGTGTATGTACATGTTTTGGGGGAGGAATATGCATCAGAAACACCTGTGAAGCTTTTTAAAAAATGTAATTTCCGAGGCAGGCATTGACACAGCTACTGCTTGAAATGCCCATATCCCCTGTTGAGTGCCTTTTTTGAGCCCCAGCTCTTCATGCTTCCTATCCAGCTTCCTGGGATGGCTCAAGTACTTGGGTTCCTGCAACTCACATGGGAGACCCAAATGGAGTTCCTGACTCCTGGCTTCAACATGGCTTAGCCCAACTTTGGGGAGTGAACCAAGGGTTTGGAGTATCTTTATTTTCAAAACATGAATAATTGGGGGCTGACATTGTGGCAGAGAGGAATAAGTTGCCTCCTGTGATGCTGGCTCCCATATGGGTGCCAGTTTGAGATCTGGTTGTTCCACTGGGAAAACAGCTGAAAATGGCTCAAGTACTTGGGCCTCTGCACCAACTTGGGAGACTTGGAAGAAGCTTTTGGCTCCTGGCATTGGGTTGGCCCAGCCCTGGCCATTGTAGCCTTTTGGGGAGTGACTCAGAAGGTGGAAAATTTTTTTGTCTGTCCTCTGTATCACTCTGATTTTCAAATAAATAAAATATTTTAAAAAGATTTATCTATTTGAAAGGAAGGGTGGGAGGAGATCTTCTATCTGCTGGTTCACTCCCCAAATGGTTGCAGGGCCAATCAGAAGCCAGGAACCAGGAGCTTCTTCCAGGTCTCTTGACCTGGGTGCAAGGGCCCAAGAACTTTGGGCTGTCTTCTGCTTTCCCAGGTGTATTTGCAGGGAGCTGGATCAGAATGAGTAGCCAGGACTTGAACTGTCGCCTATATGGGATTTCCACACCACAGGTGGAGGCTTTCTGTGCTATGCCATAGCACTGGCCCCAAATAAATGTTTTAATTGCTTTGAATAATAATTCAAATAATAATTGCTTTGAACTCAACTCCAACGACCTGGTGGGTTCTAGTCGCTGAAGTTAAGGCTTAATACAATATTTTCAGAAAGTTTGCTAAATGATTCTTTAGAAGAGAATCTGAGTATCATCTCCATTAACTTAAAGGAATAACCTAAAGTAAATTTCCTGCGTGAAGTCAGCAGAACACAAGTAGGAAATCACTAATTTCCTGTTATATAAATGAAGTTATAACATTCATTTTCACTCTGCCTTCCCCCCTTGCATATAATAATAATGGAACAAGGGAACATGAATTTTTTTTTTTTTTCAAAGTCTGGATGGCTTCAGAGAGCTAGTTATAAGAATGAAAGAAAAGCATAAGGATTAGGTGTAGGACAAGTATAGATGTGTATAGTCCATGTTTGATTTCTTTGGCTGCTTAGGGTTATAAATAGTTCATGGAGAATGCATATTTTGAAAAATTATTCACGGATTTCTGTGGGGAGCAGGGCCTGTCTCCCGCAACATGGCGAAATAAGTACTGAGACTACCGAGACTAGGCTGGACCACTGAGACTATTAAGACTAACTCTATGCATCTGATCTCCCACCATGTGGCCGCTCTGAGGGAGTAAACAAATCTTACACAGCTGCTTCCTTAAATAGCTGATTCCTGACCCAACCCCTGTTTGGAGGGAAGCCACGTGCTTAGCATGTGGGCAGCAGAGCACAGATTGGTGGGAGAGGACTATAAAAGAGAGAGAGAGAGACAACATGCAGGGCCCCCCTGAGAGCTGGTGCCGCTCCTCCGCGAAAGCGGGGGAGTGGCAGCAAATCCGGGAAGGACCGGGGAAAGAAAACAGCTTCTGATGTCGTTCCTCCGTGAGTCGGGGAGCGACAGATTTCAATTTTTTGTATCCAAAAAACATTTAATTCCATTTTTTCACAAACTTTTTTTGGGAAGATTATTTATTTGAAAGAGTTGGGCCGGCGCCACTGCTCAATAGGCTAATCCTCCGCCTGCGGCACTGGCACACGGGGTTCTACTCCTGGTTGGGGTGCCGGATTCTGTCCTAGTTGCTCCTCTTCCAGTCCAGCTCTCTGCTGTGGCCGGGGAAGGCAGTGGAGGATTGCCCAAGTCCTTGGGCCCTGCGCCCGCATGGGAGACCAGGAGAAGCACCTGGCTCCTGGCTTCTGATCAGCATGGTACGCCGGCCGCAGCAGCCATTGCGGGGTGAACCAATGGAAAAGGAAGACCTTTCTCTCTCTCTCTCTCTCTCTCTCTCTCACTGTCCATTCTGCCTGTCAAAAAAAAAAAAAAAAGAGTTGGAGAGAGAGAGAGAGAGATCTTATATCTGTTTTTCACTCCCCAGACTGGGCCAGGTGGAAGCCAGGATCTTTATCCAGGTCTCCCATTTGGGTGGCAGGAGCCTAAGTACTTGGGCCATTTTCCACCGCTTTTCCTGGGCCATTAGCAGGGAGCTTAAGCATAAGTGGAACAGCCAGGACATGAACCAATGGATATTAAAGATACTACTTCTTCATAGATTTTTATTCTATAACCTGTGCAGTTAGTAAATGGTTAGTGATAGAGGAAATGGGGAGGTTGACATGTGGCTTTGGTTAAAAAATATATGTATGTGTATGTATATCTATATATATATGTATGTATAAATACACACACACACACACTATTATTTTAAAGGTTGCTACTAAAGAATGAGAAAGGATAGAAAGAGTCTTAAGTTCCTGAAATATCCTGCCTTCTGCTTCCCTCATGTTTAAGGTTTCTACAAATATATAAATTAGAACTATGTTCTTTGCTTTAAACATAAGGCTGTGTTGTGGAGCTGTTGCTGTATATTTATGTACCTGTTAAAGATTTAATCAATTTCTTTCGCCTTTTCTATTTTCTGTTTATTTGTATTTTGTTGTTTAGGTATTTAAGAGATTATGGCATCTGAAACCCACAATGTTAAAAAACGGAACTTTTGTACTAATATTGAGGATCATTCCACTGATCTTCCTAGAAAAAGGATCTCTAATTTCACCAATAAGAACATGAAGGAGGTAAGTTCATGGTTAGATAAAGAGTGTAAGACATTTTAAACTGTCAGATAATTATAGTCAGGTAGGGTTAGATATGGCTAAATTGTTCAGACAATGAGAGGGTCAGAATTGCTTAATCTCCCCAAAGTAGGGTTAATAAAGTATAACCATTTGAAATACCTGAAGCTCTAAAAACTTCTTGGCTACTGTACTGTTTTTATATAATTTGACTGTTTTACTTTAAGAGGAATCTCAGAGGTTTTCCTTTTTTTAACCATTGCAAGACTCATTAGCACTGCTAAAATTGCTTTTAGACTATAAAAATTCAGCTCACCTTATTAAGCACCCTTATATGTATATGTGACTAGTGGCTTAGTAAATAAGGAAATGGATATGTTGCTTTGCCAAAAATACTTTTATACAATGTCATTGTATCTGATAACTGGAGACTGCGGCATTAGAACAGAAAAAACTTCAACCTGAAAAATCTACTTGTTGAATTTTAGCTTTATCAATCACAAAATTTACATAACTGTTAAAGAACTCTTAAGTATGCTGTAACTAGATTATTTACATTCATTTTTCAGGTTAAGAAATCTCCCAAACATTTGGCTGCTTACATAAACAGGTAAGAGCATCTTTATAGTTTGTGCAGAGGGGAAGTGTTTGCCCTAGTGGTTGAGACACCTTTGTCCCCTGTCACAAGACCTGGGTTTGAAGCCTCTTCTGAATCCAGCCTCCTGCTAACGCAGACTCTGGGAGGCTGAAGTGACTGGGCGCTTACATGGGTTACCGGGATTGAGTTCCCCAGCTCCCAGCTTTGGCTCTGACCATTGGCATAACCAGTGCATTGGAGTTCTGTTTATCTCTTTCTCCATCTCTCTCTCTCTCTCTCTCTGCTTCTCAAATTAAAATTGTAAAATATAATTAAAGTTTGTAGGGAAATAGCAAATATGAAAAACTGGGTAAAGATGAAAATAGTGGATGAAATAAGTATTTTCTTTTATTAAAGTAATAGTTTATTTATTGTTAGATAGCTTCATTGTGACAGGCTCTGCTCTGATAAACACATCAGTATTATCTCTTTTCCTCACAACAGTTGTACTTGAGTGTATTACCCTTAGCAGCTGAGAGAACACTAAAACTCACAGAAGTTGTGATTTGTTCAGGGTCATATAACCAGAAAGTGATAAACATGGCATTCATTCTCAAATCTACTTAATATAAAAAGCACTTTCTACAAAACCACTGGTGTTCAAAGTGTAATCTGAGGACCTAGAGGTTTCTGGGGCTTTTTTAGGGAGTGTGTGAGATCAAGACTATTTTCATAACAATACCAAGACATTATTCATTTTTCTTTTCAGTCTCTTGTATAGTAGAGTTTTCCAAACATTTGTGACATTTTATGTCACAATAGATTGCATACAGATTTAAAAACCCAACTGTTTTCTGTTAAATCAGATATTAGAATTTTGAAAAAAATGTAAAGCAGTACCCTTCTCATTGTTCTGATTGTTTTGGGAAACACAATTTTTTGTGTAACATATCTCTTGTTGATATATAATGTCTGTTTTTAAATAACAAATATTTTAAAATTTTCTTAGTTTTAGTTTCTGATACAGTAAACATCAATAGGTTTCAGTCACATGAAACACTTTTTTGAGTTCTCAGTAATTTATTTTGAAGCATCCTGACACAAAGATAATTTGAGAACCAGTGAACCATGTTTGCTGTATTGTGTTCTGTTCAGAATTAAGTATATTTCAGCCTAATCAAATAATTAAAATATCCAGACTTGTACAATATGTCATTTTGTTAGACAAATATTAGGTAACAGGAAAGTGTTATAGTTTTCTTATTTCCAGAATGGCCTTTAATGATTCATTTTAAAAGCATCATAGTTAGCATCTATGTATCTTCATTTTCATTTGTTATAAAGTGTCATTCATCTCATTGCTTTCAGATAATTTGTAGCTTTCCTTTTCAAACTAAGAGTTAAGATTTTGAATTCTTTATTATTCCTTTCACTTCTAATTTCAGTTGATTACAGCAAAATGTGGACTATTAAATCTCATTTAAAAACTTTTAAAGGTTTTTATTATTTTTTTACTTTAAAAATTCTTTTTACAGAACAGTTGGACAAGCTGTGAAAACCCCAGATAAACTACGTAAGGTGATCTATCGCAGAAAGAAAGTTCATCATCCCTTTCCAAATCCTTGTTACAGAAAAAAACAGTCCCCTAGCACTGGGGGCTGTGACATGGCAAATAAAGAAAATGAACTGGCTTGTGCAGGTCACCTGCCTGAAAAATTACGCCATGATAGTCGCACATATTTGGTTAATTCCAGTGACCCTGGCTCTTCACAGACAGAAAGCCCATCATCAAAATATAGTAGTTTTTTTTCTGAGGTAAGTCACTTTTCTAAGGTATGTCTAGCTTACCTTTATTCCTGTTACCCTGTTGGGGTTTTTTTGATTGCTATATAGTACTAGCTAAATAATTTTTCTTACTCATTGAATTCAAACTTACTTGAGTGATAGTCCTTGAGACAGTTTTTTAGTTTAACCATATTTGAATCAATAATTTTATATTTCTATGTTAGCAATATATAAGGTGGGTTGAAATGCTTGACATGCTGCTATAAATATCCAGAATGACAGGTTGGCCAGTAGAAATTTAAAACCAGGGAAAAAGAAATCTTGCTTAAAAAATGGACCACTTAACAATAGTTAACAATAATATATTTTTCTAAATAGCTAGAAGAAAGACTATTGAATGATCACACTACAAAGAAATCTTGACTATTTGAGGTGATGGATGCTGATTATCCTAATTTGATCATTAAAATCTATGCATGTACTGAAATATTAACATTGTACCCCATAAATATATAGAATTTTTGTCAGTAAAAACAATCTAATTAGAAAAATAAAGTTAAACTACTAAATAAAATAAATAAATAAAATGGACCGCTGAGGCTGGTTATCTAGGCATAGTTGGCTGGGTTCACAGAATTGCCTAGTGGAAGGCTTATTAGCAAACCTAATACTTGTAAAATTAATTTCAAAAAAAGCTATTATGTTCTTAAAACTGTATATATGAAATGCATGGATTTTTTCCTTTATATAAGTAAATAAGTTGTCTAAGTCCATATTAATGACATACATCAGGATGTTGACTGATGCATAGTTTTAATAAGTCGAAACCAAAATCTAAATTAATTGTGGTATTTAAAAACTGGAGAATATGCTGTTTTTTAAAGATGCACTTGATCTGTTTTGACATTGAAAAATGATTATACAGGTGAAAAACAAGATTGTAAAAACAAAAAAATGGACTTTTTTGTGTACTTAATTTATCTTTGAAAATGATTTGGAAAGATACACGCCAGTGTTAAATGTTATTTCTGGGGCATGATATTTGAATTTTGCGGGGTTTTTTTTCCTTATAAAGAATATTCTTTTTTTTTTTTTTTTCTTTTTTTTTCTTTTTTTTTTTTTTTTTAAGATTTATTTATTTGAGAGGCAGAGTTACAGACAGAAAGGTCTTCCATCTGCCAGTTCACTCCCCAGTGACCACAGTGGCCCAAGCTGAGCCTGGGTCTCTCACGTGGCTGCAGTGGTCCGAGCACCTGGGCCATCTTCCACTGCTTTCCCAGGCCATAACCAGAGAGCTGGATTTCAAGAGGAGCAGCTATATAGGATACCAGCGCCACAGGCAGAGGTGTAGCCCACTGCACCACAGCACTGGCCCTGTTTTTTTCTTATATATACAGTTCTGTGTTAAACTTTTTACAATACCAGCATCCCATGTGTGCACTGGTTCAGATTCTGGCTGCTCCACTTCCAGTCTAGCTCCCTGCTAATAGCCTGGGAATGCAGTGAAAGATGGCCCAAGTGCTTAGACCCCTACACCCACGTGGAAGACCTGGAAGAAGTTCCTTTCTCATGGTTTCAGTCTGGCCCAGCCATCTGCAGAGTGCATCAGCAGATAGAAGATTACTCTGTCTCTGTAACTCTGAATTTCAAATAAATAAATAAATCTTAAAAAAAAAAAAAGGAATGATGTTTTCATTTTATTTGGAAAGATAAAGAGACAGAGTTCATATCTGCTGTTCCACTCTTCAAATGCCCGCAGCAGTGAAGGATGGGTCAGTCCTAAGCTGGAAGCCTCCAGAACTCAATCCCAGGTCTCTCACTTATGTGGAAGGGACATGAGTACTTGAGCCTCTGCTGCCTCCCCGAGTACACATTAGCAGGAAGCTGGATTGGAAGCAGAGTTGCTGGGACCCTACCAGGCACTCCAATATGATGTAGGCATCCCAAGTGGCAATCTAACCACTGCCTGTCCCTGTTACATGAGTTATTGAAATGTAAAAGAAAAATGGTAGCTAGTATTAGAAAAAGTACTGATAAACAATAAACAGATCCTAAAATTGTTTCCATCATGATTATCTTCCAGGTTTCTCAGGACCATGAAACAATGGCCCAGGTTTTATTCAGCAGGAATTTGCGATTGAATGTAGCTTTAACTTTCTGGAGAAAGAGAAGCATAAGTGAACTTGTAGCCTATTTGGTGAGGTAAGTAATTTTGAGTGTAAAATTAGAAGTACATCTTCTTTATTTTACTACTGGCTAAAATTTTAAACTGCCTGTACTTAGCTTTGATAGGAACTGTCTGGCTTAAATTACAGTTGCCCCCAGCCTATGAATAACCAAAATTACAGAAAACATCTGTTTTATCAGATTGAGCAAAACTGGTTTTTCTAAGGTTCTTGTCGATAAAACTAAGAGATACCAATATGGGGAAACCTTTTTAAAATGCCTTTTGAGGCTGGTGTCTTGGTACAGTGCGCACTGCTTTACACCCTGGCCACTCCACTTCCCATCCACCTCACTGCTGTTGTGCCTGGGAAAGCATCGGAAGATGGTCCAAGTCCTTGGGTCCCTGCCACCCACTTGAGAGACCAGCCATTTGGGGAGTGAACCAGTGGATGGATGATATCTGTCTCTCTTTCTCCTTCCCTCCCCCTCTCTCTAGCTCTGCCTTTCAAATGAATATATAAATGAATAAATAAATCTTAAAAAAAGATTTATGTATTTACTTGAAAGAGTTAGAGATTACCCATCTGCTGGTCCACTTCCCAAATGGTTACTTCTGCCCTGGTTGGGCCAGGCTGAAGCCAGGAGCCGGGAGCCAGGAATCCCATCTGGGTCCCCCAATGGATATGGAGGTTCAAGTAGTTGGACCACACTCTGCTGCTTTCCCAGGCACATCAGCAGGGAGCTGTACCAGATATGGAGCAGCTGGGCCAAGTGGCATTCGTATGGGATGCCAGCACTGCAGGCAGTAGTTTAACCCACTGTGCCACAGTACCAGCCCCGGTAAATAAATCTTAAAAAAAAAAATCTCCTTTGCGAATTTGCAAATTTTAAGCATTACCTTCCTGGTTTTATTCAAGTCTCTAAAATGTTACCTTTGTGAGACTTTCCATGACCATTGTATCTCTTTACTTCCCATCTCCCTCTCCTGTTTTATTTTTCGCCTTAGAAATTAATATCACCAACCTACTCTATACATTTTTACTTATTTGTTCACTGTCTCTCTTTTTTAAAATATTTATTTATTTATTTCAAAGAGTTAAAACAATAGAGAGAGAGAGATCTTCATCTGCTGGTTCACTCCCTAAATGGTTGCAATGGCTGGTGCTGGATGAGGCAGAAGCCAGGAGCTTGGAACTCCATCCTGGTCACTCACATGGAAAACAAGAGGCCCAAATACACGGACCTTCCTCTGCTGCTTTCCAGTGTGAGCTGAATTGGAAGCAAAGCATCAGGGATGAACTAACTCTCCCATACAGGAGTTTAACCTGCTGTGCTACAAAGCCAGTGCTGCTCCCCGCCCCTATCCCTTGCCTGTCTGTAACCTACTCCTCACTCACAGTGGGCATACAAGCCCTATCTCTTGTTCACTGCTGTGTCCCTAGTACTTGGCTCATCAAAGACATTGAAATTGTTAAATTTGTGGATCTCTGGGGCCAATGTTGTGGCATAGTGGGTAGAGCCACTGCCTGTGATGCCAGCATCCCATGTGAGCACTGGCTCCTACACTTCCTATCCAGCTCTCTGCTAATGTGCCTGGGAAAGCAGCAGAAGATGACCCAAGTGCTTGGGCCGCTACACCCATCTGGGAGACAAGGGAGAAGCTCCTGGCACCTGGCTTCAGCCTGGCCCACCTTAGCCCCAGCCATTGTGGCCATTTGGGGAGTAAACCAGTGGATGGAAGATCTCTCTTTCTCTCCTTCTATAACTTTGCCTTTCAAATAAATAAAAAAATTTTTTAAATGGTGAATCTCTTGAAAGCAGTGTGAAGATTTTAACATAAAGATAAATAGGGAATTTTCGGGGCCGGCGCAGTGGTGTAGGGGGTAAAGCCGCTGCTGAGGTGCCGGCATCCCATATGGGTGCCAGCTTGAGTCCCAGCTGCTCCACTTCTGATCCAGCTCTCTGCGATGGCCTGGGATAGCAGTAGAAAATGGCCCAAGTATTTGGGCCCATGCACCCATGTGCAAGACCCGGAGGAAGCGCCTGGCTTTGGATCGGCACAGCTCTGACTGTTGTGGCCAATTGGGGAGTGAACCAGCAGATGGAAGACTCTGTTCTCCTCTCCTCTTTCTCTCTCTCTCTGTAACTCTGACTTTCAAATAAATAAAATAAATCTTGAAATAAAAAAATTAGGAATTTTCTTTTTGTACCCACAGGATAGAAGATCTTGGAGTTGTAGTAGATTGCCTACCTGTACTCACCAATAGGTAAAAACAATATTTTACCAAAAAAATTACAGAACAAATTATGACTTATTAATGCACGTATTTTTAACATAGTATTTATTTTAGTTTACAGGAGGAAAAACACTATATCTCACTTGGCTGCTGCGTGGACTTGTTGCCTCTAGTAAAGTCATTACTTAAAAGCAGATTTGAAGAGTAAGTGCCAAATGAATCAATTGTTTTTCTTTTTGAACATCCTTAATTTTGTTTTCATGAGTTCATATTAGCAAATTGGGCTATGTGAGGCATGTAGTTTCTGTTTTCCATGAGCTTATAGTATAATTAGAAGAACATTAAGTGATTAAATCATAATCATAAAAGGGTTTTAAAAGGGTTACATAAAATATAGTTTATGAAATAGATCGTGAAACTAGTGAAGTAAGTTTATAGAAGGGATGAAAGATCAATGTCTGTTTTTGGAGAAGGGAAGTGTCTTTTGTAATGGCTTTTTAGATGAAAACATTTTGTAACATTGTCATTTCAGATATGTAATAGTTGGTTTAAACTGGCTTCAAGCAGTCATAAAAAGGTGGTGGTCAGAACTGTCATCCAAATCAGAAATCAGAAATGATGGGTGAGTATGTCTTTAAAGGTACCGTCGTGCTGAAGCTTTTTTCAAAAAAGCCGCTTGATTAAACTAGGTGGTAATTTTGTACTGGTATCATCAGCATATATTTATTCTTTTCATTTTCAGAGAAATACTGAGTTGTGATACATGAAAATCAAAACATAGAGGTTGAGTTCCAGAGCCCAGGAACCCCTGTATCTCTTCTCGTAAAACCCAACCCTTCATTTAAGAAAGAAAAAGTTCAATGATGATTTAACAGGGGTTTAATTAGTAAAGGAGAGAAAAAAATACCTGTAATGGGATAAGGGTTGGAAGCATCCTGCAGGGTCCTTAGATTGCCTAGACATATCCTGAGAGTATGATGTTGATTACAGTTCTGAAACTATATTTATAATTATAATTTGAGGACTGCTTTGGTGTGGGAATGCAGTTATTCTACCAAATGAGCCAGATTGTCATGAAACCATAAAAAAAAGAAAATCTCCCTACAATCCCCTTAACATTTATAATTTTCTTACATTATAGTTTTCTTATAAATACTTGAAAATTTTAAACTGTTTTCATCAAGTGAATTTACTAACAAAGGCCATATGCATCTATATTTGCTTTCTCGTTTTTCTTTTTTTCCTCCTAGAAATATTCAGATTTTAAGACAACAATTAAGTGGGTTGTGGGAACAAGAAAACCATCTTACTTTGGTTCCAGGATATACTGGTAATATAGCTAAGGTAATCTCTGTTTTTCTCTTTAATATTTATTTGAAAGGAAGAGTTACAGAGAGCGAGAGAAATAAGATCATCCATCCACTGATTCATGCTCCAAATGGCCACAATAGCCAGCGTTGGGCCAGCCCAAAGCCAGGAGCCTGGAGCTTCATTTGGGTCTCTCATGTGGGTGCTGGGATCCAAGGATTTGGGCCATCCTCTGCTGCTTTCCCAGGCGCATTAACAGGGAGCTGGATCGGAAATGGAGAAGCTGGGACTTGAACCTGGTACACGGTAGTGCTGGCCCAATCTACATTTAAACTTAAAAATTAGGCATTAAACCAAGAAATAACATAGGATACATTTGTAAATGAGCTCTTCAGTTTCTAGACAAAATAATTGAGTACTGTTCTAACAAGGTGTTAAGTCAATTTATTTCTCTTATTTATTTATTTATTTATCTGAAAGGCAGAGCTACAGAGAGGCAGAGTCAGAGCAAGGTCTTCCATCCACTGATTCACACCCCAAATGGCTACAATGGCTAGAGCTGGGCCGATCTGAAGCCAGGAGCCAGGAGCTTCTTCTGGGTCTCCTATGCGGGTGCAGGGCCTAAGCACCTGGGCCTTCTTCTGCTGTTTTCCAAGGCCATAAGAGAGCTGGATCTGAAGTGGAGCAGCCAAGTCTCGGACTGGTGCCCATAAGGGATGCCGGTACTGCTGGTGGCAGCTTTACCTGCTATGCCGCAACGCTGGCCCCAAGTCAGTTTCATATTTGCAAGTGCTTAAAGTCCTCTGGATGTGAGTGTGACCTTGGCAGGAAGAACAGGAGTTATCCATTGAATGTTTCATATACAGCCACAGAAATACTATGCCACAGGATATTTAATGACCTAGTTCTAATAGAAAAATATCTGAAGAAAAATTAAGAATCCAAATAAGAGCAACATCAGAAGGAAACAAGGGATGAGGAATACATTCAGATGGGTTTAGAATGTTAATTTTTACTTTGCTTTTGCTAATATGTTTTTTTTTTGTTTTTTTTTTTTGAAGATTTATTCTATTTACTTGAAAGAGTCACAGGGAAAGACAAAGAGGGAGAGAAAGAGAGAAAGGTCTTCCATCCGCTAGCTCACTCCCCAAATGGCTGTGACTGGGCCAGGCTGAAGCCAGGAACCAGGAGCTTCCTCAGGGTCTCCCATATGGCTACAGGGGCCCAAGGAATTGGGCCATCCTCCACTGTTTTCCCAGGCACATTAACAGGGAGCTGGATTGGAAGAAAAGCAGCCAGTACTCAAACCAGCAACCATGTGGGATGCTGGCAGTGATTTAACCCACCATGCCACAATGCCAGCCCTACTAATATGCTTTTTGAAAAAGTAACCTTTAAATCACAGAATGAATTGGACATTGGTCTTTATTGATTTGCTTGTCTTTTAAAGGAAAAAGTACATTACTAGTTGGGATTTTGGTATTTAAACTCCAGAAAAACATTGGTAGTTAAAATATAATTGCAAAAAAAAAAAAGTTAAGAAATATTTCTGCCCTATTAGTGGGCACATTGCTATCATAAATGGGCATTAGCCAGGAATAGAAAGTGATATTTGATTTAAAAAATTTATTAAATGTAGTTTAATTTATGTCATACACTATTAAAATTCTTTATGGATACTTCCAAAAAAGCAAGATGACCTCAAGTTTACCACTTTGTATGATTTTACTGTATGAGTTCTTTTTTCTTTTTAAGATTTATTTCTTCATTTGAAAATCAGTTATAGAGGGAGAGGGAGAGAGATCTTCTGTCCACTGGTTCACTCCTTAGATGGCTACAACAGCCAGAGCTGGATCAGGCCAAAGCCATGAGCCAGCAATTTCATCCAGGTATCCCACGTGGGTGGCAGGGGTCCAAGTACTTGAACCATCTGCCATTGCTTTACCCAGGCCATTAACAAGGATCTGGATCAGAAATAGTGCACCCGGGATATGAGCCACTGCCCATATGGGTTGCTGGCATTATAGACTGGAACTTTACCTGCTACCCAATGTTGGCCTCTACTAAAGAATTCCTAATGGTGAAAATCTTAGGAATCAATTTCTAGAAATATTTTGGTTGTTTTAGGTTTTTAAAGTATACATACCACATCCTCTTGCTTGGTAGGAGCTTTTTTCTTTTTTCTTTTTTGGACAGGCAGAGTTAGAAAGAAAGACAGAAAGACAAATCTTCCTTCCGTTGGTTCACCCCCCAAATGGCTGCTACAGCCGGCGTGCTGCGCTGATCCAAAGCCAGGAGCCAGGTGCTTCCTCCGGGTTGATAGGAGCTTGTTTTCTGGAATAGAAATGAATAATTATTTCTTAGAAATTTGCTTTTAATTATAATTCTTTATAAAGGGAGAAGCTTTATTGTGAACATGACTTAAAATACTATGTTTATTATTGAAGACTATACTAAAGTGATTTAATAGTTCAAAGTGAAGTTCTTTAAGTTACAATGAAAACTTTATTACAAAATTAAGCTCTCAATTAACTTGTAAGTTTCTGAGAGCAGAAACTGGAGAGTCTATTATGAAACTGGCCTTGAGTTTATATAGCTCTAAAGGTAAGGTATTCCTGTGAATGCAAACTTATTTGAGCACAGGAACCAAAACATTGTCTCAGCACTTAGCAAACATTTATCGAGTGTGTGATATGTCCCAGGCCCTGTACCAAACAAAAGCAGATAAAAAGTTGAGAAGAACACTCTTCAACTGTTAAAAGATCACAAATGGAAACTAAGGCAGCCAAAAAGGAAAATAAAAATGTGTTGTTTATGTGTATTTACTATACTGGCTAATGAAATGTTTCTGTTTTATCCTCTAAGGATGTAGATGCTTATTTATTACAGTTGCATTGAGAGATTTCATCTACTAAACAGCATTTGGTTATTCGAGACATCCTGGGACTATAGGATTTCCAAAAATAGGTCTCTTCTGAGAACTGTGAACTGTGGAAGAAATCAAAATCATTTTTTCTTTTAAAAAGCCACAAATTGAAACCACTAATGAAACGCTAACAATCTACTTCACATTGAAGTGGAATAGTATCCAAAAGGAGCAGCTTCAACTTCAATGAGGTGAAAGTGCACTATGAAGATTGTTCGCCTTTGCTGCATTCGGGGTCTGTATGGTTATTTGATAACATTGTTTAAGAACTACTGGGTCTTAATGCAATCATGCATAAGAATATAATTTATACTCTGCAAAAGTAAGACAAGAGTTATTACTAGAAACTACAAAGACCAATCGTGATTTTTTTTCAAGATTGTGTTTTATAAAAAAACTTAAATGTGTGCAGCTATTTTCTTATGTTGAAAGACTTTGAAAGTGAAAACATTAAAGTAAATAATATTAAAAATGTTCACACTGAAATGCTGTTTATGCAAAATGCCTTAATTATTAACTAAGCCAATATATTATGATACCAATATCTGTTTTAAAAAATTGAAACCAACCATGCTTCTGGCATGATAAAATCCTGGAATTAAATCAGGGGTTTACATTCACATAGAATGTTATTGTTCAGATATATTCCACACAATTTTTAAAACTTGAGAATATTTTTAGTATCTCTGATTTTTTTTTTTGCCAGAATCATCATGCCATGTATGTATGTATTATCCCTATATAAAAAAGGTGAATATGTGTATGAATGTTTAACTGGAAATGTCCATGGAATTAGCTAATTTATATTCACTTTTTATTGTATATATATTTCTAATATTTTTCATTTCTGTATCATTTAAACTTTCTTCACTTGAGTAAATTCACTAAATATTTCTATTTTTTGCTTTTTTAATTCTGATTTTGTATGCATTCTAATTTCTTATCACTACATGTTTTAAAGAGTTGCAGTGCTTTAGAATTGTTTACAGTTAATGCTGACTTTGTATTTTAAATTCCAGCATTTTACTACCTCCTATAATGGTTAGTATAAAATGCCAGCAGACTGTATGAGGTCATTTTTTAAAAATTCCACTTATAGTGTCAATTAGCCCAATCCTGGAATGACTGAACAACTCTAAATGTTACCCATCTTGAAAGTAATTTGAGTTTAATAACACTATTGGTGGTTCATACATCATCTCATCTTTAATAAGCCTGACAGATGCCTGAGCAAAGATTCTTAAAAATCAGATTTCTCTTTAGTACTCCTTCAAGCACTTGAATTAAAATCTTTTCACATTTATCAAGTTAGTGACTACTGATATGGATCTCCAGCATCTTTTTTGTTTTCAAAATGTTACCTTTCATTGAATTCTATTTTTGTGTGGCTATATTTCATATAGTTATGTATTCCTCACCATGAATATTAGTTGTAATTTGTTATTTTCTTCAGTCTTTAGATTTCAGATAACTGCTTCTATGAGAGGTGAATTATTTAAGAAGTCATTTCTCAGGATGTGGAATTTGGACCATAAACCTGTGTCATCTCTGTGAAACCTTGAGATGATGAAATATAACTTTTGTTCGTTGTTGCTGTGCTTTAGTTATCACTGTCTTATCTAACAGTTTGAACCAGTTAACTTGGTTGGAGTATGGTGCTATGAGGTTAAGGACAGGAATTTAATCCTTTTTTAAGTTCATTAACTTTACATACACAAACACAGAGAAACAATTTTACAATCACAGAGTTCACCTTTCCTCCAGTACTCATCTTGCATTCATTTCAAACTGAAAATCAGTTCTGGGTCACAAGGAAGGTGACATATGGAGCTTAGCATAAAAACCTAACTTCAAATGGAAAGATAAGTCAAATTATTGGTATATATGATACTGCAGACTTCAAAATAATATATTCAAAATAAGATATGTAAATTCTGTGTAATGTTTAGTTTCACAGTATTGAATAATAGGTCAGATATTTTCTGTATTTGTCAAATCATTAAATAGTATCTTCAAAAATCAACTGTTAGAAAAACAAACTGCTAAAAACCAAGTACAAATGAAATAGAGTAAGAAAAAGTATCTTGTTAACACTGAATTCTTGAGCTTAAATTTAGGTTTCTTGAAGGCGGGAAGACAATGTTCCATTTTATATACTCTGAGTTATATAAGCCAGCAGTCTTTAGCTCACAAACATTAGTAGCATACACTCCTACTTTGTGTTCCTGGCCTTTGCAGTTTACCTTAGTACCTACCTCTCTCAGTTACTGAGTTGTGATGATTCAGTGTTTTTAAGATTCTTGGATAAAAGATGTTAGGTAAGTATTTTTGAATACTCTGTTGCTACTAAGCTCTTCTCATGCTGTAGCATTTCAGTTAGAACAGTGTTGATCTCCATAAAGAGCCAAAGAGTGTTTATAAAGTGTTTTGACTGTTACTGACCTAGATTGGGTCAGTTGCTGTCTGTCATTGCTCATTTGTTGCTGTGCTACTAAGTAGTATACAGAACTAAAGACCTAGCAAGGTGTCTATGCCTTTGTTAGCTCGTCTGCCTTCTTAGATAGTCCATATTTGACTTTGCAAACTTTACAAGTATAAGGATAGGTAGTTTATTGTGGCCATAGAGGATTATAATCAAGGAATTTACTTCTATTAGGGATATGTGAATGGCTGTTATGAGTGATCATAATCACAATAAAGGTTAAAAGTTAGGAAGTATTTTCAAAATTTTTTGGCAGTGATTTTAAAGGTAATTTGCACTATTTACATAAATTCTAAAATGTGACATCTAGGAAATATATATTTATGTCCATTTGAGAAGTCATAAATATCAATACTGTGCTATGAGGGCTACAAAGGAATTAATTCCAAAAATCCATACTTGTTACATGTCATGTCCTGACCTTAAATATGGTTCTATGGGTTTAAAACTGTATTTCTGGCCTTTGAGATGGTAATTTTCTCAAACTTGGAACATTTCTGTATTTTGTAAGTTACTGACATATTCAACATTAATGGATAATTGAAGATTAAATGATTCCTGTTATCATTACTCATTAGTTCAGAAATTCTTATTTACTTAAGCAGTCTGGAAAAGCAAGATTTAAGTTAATATTTCACCAGTCATTCCCAGTTATCTTTCTTCTTATTTAAGAACCAAATAGTATTATTCTTTTGTGATTAAAGAAAATAGAATCACAAGCAGCTGAGTCAGCTGGGTGATCCATTTGCACATGCTGCTTATCACTCAGTGCAGATTTTTATTTTCTGAATTCAGGTGAAAATAGAATTGCTGGACATGTGTTGGTAGCTCTTTACTCCTATGATAGTCATTCTCCCTTTCTAATTCTTCTAGTCATGAAAATTGTCATAAAACTTTGTGACACGTTACCCCTTCTCTTTTTTAATTCTATAAAGGGAGCATAAAATAAAAATATCCATTCCTAAATACTGTACACTTCTTAATACAATTTCATGGTTCAGTAACAGTACCAAATACAGTAACAAAAATAAACACTCTATAATGAATAACCTGTATTTGAATACATATCTACAATGATATATTTAAAGTCATTTTTAACAGTATCTTCTAAAACTTAATAAATATTAAATGCACCTAAAAGTAAAACAATGTATCCCACAGTATTTTACTACTGTGAAGAGTCATAAAATACAAAACAACAGTTACTATGTGCCCAATAATTCCATGAAAGGTCAACCCCACAGCCACCAATGAATTTTTTTTTGACAGGCAGAGTGAGAGAGAGAGAAAGGTCTTCCTTCCGTTGGTTCACCCCCCAAATGGCCGCTATGGCCAGTGCGCTGCACAGATCCGAAGCCAGGAGCCAGGTGCTTCCTCCTGGTCTCCCATGCGGGTGCAGGGCCCAAGGGCTTGGGCCAGCCTCCACTGCCTTCCCGGGCCACAGCAGAGATCTGGACTGCAAGAGGAGCAACTGGGACAGAACCGGCACCCCCAACTGGACTAGAACTTGGAGTGCCAGCACTGCAGGCGGAGGATTAACCTAGAGAGCCGTGGTGCCAGCCCACCAATGTATTTTTAATAGCAAAGCTTGCTGTATATTATTGCTTTGACATACAGATTAATCATTCTCTGGACTAAGAAGTTTTCAAATGAGAGGTCCTATTAGTCCAGATGAGGTTTCAACTCCCCAAATGCACTTGGGCTAGCACTGATCTAAAGTTCTCAGTGTTTTGTTTTCAGTTCTACATGTCCTGAACCTGTCCAGTACTGTTTTGACACTGGATTTGCCTGAAAGCTAGGAAGAGTTTATCCAGAGTATTTGATAAGAACTATTGTGGAAATACTGGCACACATTAAACTGTCAAAATTACTTGCTTCCAGAATTGCTCTACTGAACTTATTAACCAAACCTGCAATATGAAGCTTGGATTGGAATTAGACCTGACCTTCCAGGAGTCAGGAGCAGAGTTAGCATCTATTTACTTTTCTACTTCCATTTTTTTTTTTTAAAGAGGAAGAAAGAAAAACTCATTGGCCCGTTGTATAAACCTGAACAGTTGAATGAGGACCTCCTGCCTCACCTTTCTCTTACCTTGTAGTACACTTGCCAGGCCCTCTCTGTACATCTGCAGCCTTGCCTCAACACAGAAGGATATGTGAGAATTAAACTCTTCTTGAAGCCAAGTTTTAAACTCATAAGGAGTTTGGAAAAGGCTAATCCTCTCCCTTAGTGGCCCAAATTCCTTTTTTCCTTCTCAAGTAGGTTTTAAGTGATCAAGGGGAGAAACCAAATCTCTTCACTTCTTCCCTCAATTATTCTTAGGCTATAAAGAGTACCTTCCAAGTTTAAAAACTCAAGTCTGTTATAAGTTATTTCAGGTGAAAAAATTTTACTCCAAGATTTTGTATAGTTTGTCAACATGTATTCTGTGTTCTCTTGATATGAAAATGCTTTGTTTTAGACTCAGCTTCCAAGGTGTGTATTATTTTGGTTTTGTGGCCACCTCTTTTTTTTTATGTATTTCAAATAGTTAGAGTGGCAGAGACAGGTCTTCCATCTTTTGGTTCACACTCCAAATGACTGCAATGGCCAGGGCTGGGCTGGGCCGGCCTGGGCCAGGCCAAAGCCAGGAACCAGGCACTTCTTCAGGATCTCCCACGTGGGTGCAGGAACCCAAGCGCTTGGGCCATCTTCTGCATCCCCAGGTGCAGTAGCAGGGAGCTGGATCTCAAACCAGCACCCAAATGGGATGCTGAAGGCAGCAGCCTAATCTGCTACACCACAGTGCTGGCCTCTTTCCTCTTTTAAAGGCTCCTCCGTCTGTCCTTAGACATTGATGTTCTTGAGATTTCTATTGTGAAGGCTCTGCTCTGCTCTGCTCTGCTCTGCCCTGCCCTGCCCTGCCCTGCCACAGTGTCTGAAAACACGTCATTTATTCCTATGACTTTGTTAATTGTCCTCATTTGGGAGCTGGAAGGAAAACTTTTTTTTTTTTTGGTTGATCAAATAGATGAGTTTTTGAAAGGTTGAGAAAACACTGAACTGTGTTCATTCTCAAGTATCTTACCCTAAGCCTACCTCTTAGCTCTAAAATAATGCACATGCCTGGATTTTAAAAGATTTTTACACGAAGATAAATGTATTCTTTAATCCTATTTTTCATGAAGTTTTGAAGTACCCTTGTATATTATATTGCCGCTTGGAAGCACTTATTGGGATATCTTAGACATCCTGAATTCAGTATACCCAGAGTTGACCTTATTTTTTACTTCTCTCTTCCATCCATTCTGCCCCCAAAATGCCCTTACTGGATGCTAGGTCTCTAGTCTCAATTAATAGTCCTAATACCAGCATTTGTCAAGCTACACACCTGTGGATCATCTTTGAATCATCTCTGAATCATTCATTAAATCTTAATGGAGCCCCCTAAATTTTTCTCATCTCTACTCTTTCCACCTTTTTTGCCATTAACCTAAAGGATTTCGTACATTGTTCTAGCAGCCTCATAACTAGTCTCTCTGGCATTGGTCCCGCACCTTTTACAACCCATTCTCACACATTTCACCCCAGAACTGTTCGTAAAGCATAAATCCTGTTGATGTCACTCCTTAAGGCTTCTTAAGAAGAGTCTGCTAAAAAAAAAAATCCATTTTCTGTTGCTATAACAAAATACCTGAGGTTGAGCAGCTTATAAAGAAATTGGTTTCTCACAGTTCTGAAGGCTGGAAAGTCCAAGAGCAAAGCATCAGCGTCTGCTTGCGGTCAGATGAGAGCTTTCTTTGCATGTCCTAACGTGGCAGAGGTCATCATCTGCTAGAGAGGAGTGTGCTAGCTCAGGTCCCTCTTCCATAAAGTTGTTAAGGCATCGTGAGGACTCCACACTTAACAACTTAGCGTAATTCCAGTTACCTATTTAAAAGTCTGCTTCTAAAACATGAGTTTGAGGATTAAATTTCCAACATAGGACCTTTGGGAGACACTTGTTTAAGATTCATTTATCTATTTGAGAGAGGTCTTCCATATACTGGTTCACTCCCCCAAATGGCTGCAACCACCAGAGCTGCACCAATCTGAAGCCAGGAGCTCTTTCTGGGTCTCAGGTGGGTGTAGTGTCCTAAGGAATTGAGCTAGCTTCTGCTTTCCCAGGCCATAGCAGAGAGCTGGATCAGAAGTGCAGCAGCCAGGTCTGGAACTGGTGCCCATATGGGATGCCAGCATTGCAGGCAGCAGCTTTATCCACTGCTACAGTGCCAGCTTCAGGGGACACATTTAATCTATACTGTGTGCTGTGCTCTGTCAACACCTCCCTGCCAGCCAGAATCCACTTGTTTGTCTCTGTAAAGTGCTGTACATCCTCTGCAGAAGCTGTATCGGTCCCAACGCAGTTGTGAGAAGCCACTGCTGCAGCCTCAACTGGTGGGTGTCCGGGTGCAGGAGTGTGTCTTGTATTCATCAGCACTGTTCTGTTCTTACCAGTGTGTGCGGATACTTTTAATCTGCTCAGCTAGACTGATAACTCTGTGAAGCCAGATAATGTTCTCTGTTACACTCCAGTAGCTAGCACAAAGGCTAGCAGATAGTTGGCATTTAATTTGAAAAAAGCAAATGTGGTATGAGGAAGTAATTTATTAATGCAGAAGTATTTATGTTAGCATAGCATAGCAGCAAAAATGAGTAGTTCTAGAATAAAAATTTCTAGCTTCTCATTTTTTTGTTTTGGGAAATTGATTTACAAATGTTCATGCTAAAACTCCTTAGCTAAAATTTTCAACCCATGAGGTGATTGTATTTGTCATTCTGTTGTACGGTTTCTATATTCCATCAACTTAGGTCCTGAGGACCATTGGCAGAGTGTGGAATTGGGGCAGGCAGTTGGCCTAGCAGTTAGGACACCACTCAAGTTGCTCTCACCCACGTCAGAGTGCCGCTTCCTGCTAATATGCACTCCGGGAGGCAGCAGGTGATGGCTCAAGTGACTGCTCCCACAGGGGAGACCCATATTGAGTTTCCAGGTCGTTGGCCTGGCCCAGTGCCAGCTGTTGTGTTTAGGTAGGAAACCAGCACATGGGAGTGCTTGTGCTCACTCTTATGAATAAAAATAAAGGTTTTTGTCCAATGTAAAATTGAGATATTGTCATGTAATAAGTGAAATTATACATAAACTTTCCTAGAATTGAGATTGTCCTTGGTGTTTTCTACTTTAAAAGTAATAGAGAATTGTGTGATATAATAGTGGTTTTTTTTCTTATGTCTCTTTAAAATTACAAAAGTAGTTCATACTTTGAAAACAGACTAACAAAGATACATAATCTTATCTACCCAGACACAGAGTGTCTATCCTTCCAGATTATCTTCTGCATGTATTTGTATTTTCAAGCTAACTGGATTTATATTCTATATGTTGATACTTAGTAAATTATTTCCTACATTACTTACCCTAGAAACACTTGAGGGTAACTAAATACTTTGACTATTAAAGCCATATGTTCTTAGCAATTACTGTTAATTTTTTTTAAAGTTGAAAGCTTTTCCTTTTTTTTTTTTTTAGGTTTATTTTTTGAGAGGCAAAGTTACAGAGAGAGGGAAAGACAGGTCTTCCATCTGGTGGTTCACTCTCCAAATGGCTGCAACAGCTCAAGCTGGGCCGTTCCAAAGCCAGGAACTTCAGTGCAGGGGCCCAAATACTTGGACCATCTTCCACTGCTTTCCCAAGCCATTAGCAGGGGGCTGGGTAGGAAGTGGAGCAGCCGGAACTCAAACCAGTGCCCATGTGGGATGCAGGCGCCATAGGCAGAGGCCCCCACTGTACCACATCCCTAGCTGCTACTGTTAATTTCTTCGGAGAAACTGGAAGATGCCAAATAAGTGCTTTTGAAACATTCTTAGTACAGGATTCTGTTCTCGTTGACCTTTGCTAATTATTACCTTCTCTTCCCCGCCCCACTACATGTCAGGAAGAGAGCCTATAAGGAAAAAATAGATTATTTCTGTATTTTAAAAAGAAACATCGTTTAGATTTGTTTGAATGGTCTTAATTGGAAGATTTCAACTTATACTATGGCATATTTTCTCCAGCCATCAAACATAATCTTCTGAATAAGTAGCTCTGACCATATGTGTAAGAGTAAATGCACCATGGCACAGCAGGTTAAGCTGCCAGGTACTCTGCTGTGTGTCCAGCTTCCTGCAAAAGTACCTGGGAAGGCAGCAGATGATGCTGGAGTGCTTGGGTCCCTGTCACCCATGTGGGAAATGTATGGAGTTTCAGGCTTCTGGACTTGGCCTAATCCAGTTATGGTGTTTCAGGCATTTGGGACGTAACCCAGTGAATGGAAGATTTCTTTCTCTCTCTCATTCAAATAAGTAAATTTTTAAGAAATAAAATGAACATAACCTTTAGCAATGCTCTGAATATTGAGTCAATATGGAACTAAGAGTTGATTTTTTTAAGATTCAGTCCTGTCCAAAAATGCTAATTTCCAATTACCTTTCTTAAGACATTTTTTACAAAGAATTTAATGAGGTGTTTCTAACTGAACTGTCCTGCTTAAATTAATATTGTATAGATTCTGTGTTCTTTAATCATTGTATTGTGTCTTGGAGTAAAACCAGTGATTGCTAGAAACAGAAAAATCAGTGGTAAGTAGTAGAAACTGAGATAGGTAAAGCAAATAATTACATACTATCCTGTGCCTAACCGGTTGCCATAATCAGCCATAAGAATTACTGTGTATTTCTGTAGGGTAAAGGAGAGGGGTGCACTAACGACTCATTGAATGCACATCTCTAGCATACTAATAGGCAGAGTTCCTCAGCTTTCATCAGCTCTAGGAGCACACAAAGAAGCATGTAAGTGTATATTTTAAAGAGCTATAATAAAATGCCATCTTCTGCATTCATGAAGTTACTGGTGATTTTAACCTGGTATAGTTTTGTTTTTTTTTTTTTAAATAAAACTTACAGTTACTAAGCCAGTTAATAGGAAAACAGTTCAACGGAATTATTAGTACTCTTCTAATTTAAAAAATTAACATCTTTGTCCTTTTTTGATTTCTCATATATGTACTTTTTAGGGTAAAAAAAATTGGCTTATTAAAGTAACTGCATACAAGTATAGCAATTAAACAAAATGAACCTAATATATTAGGCTTTTAAGAATGTCTGATAATGTTGATTGAGGGCCATGCTATTGCTTGCTTAGTCTAATATAATCATTTCTGCTTTCTCAGATTCCATGTAGTTAGATTAATGACAGCAGTGATTTCATTTTATAAATCTTCAAAATGGGAAATAGCAAAAATTGCTTTAAAAGTTTCTTATAACTTCCAAATGATAATTAGAAATTATACTTTAGAAACATTGAACTATAGTTATTGTCTATAAATTTCTATGATTAAATATTGATAGGTTTAGAATTGAATAATGAAAATTATAGTGGTCATAATAATTGACATGTGCTTGCAGTATTCTTTAAGAGTAATGTTTTAGAATACTGTTATACCATGTTTCTCCAGATTTGCTTGGACAAATGATACACTTTTGTAATTTGGACTAAGTGAAGCTTAAAAGACTCCTTTTTCTGTCTTTGTTAGATGATGAGACATAATTTGTTGAAATTATAAGTTGATATGGGAATTGTAAATTTGTGTTTAAATGATGTATACCTTAGTGCTTTTGTTTTAAATCCAAATGTTGCATTGACTAGTGTGGTATTTGAGAAAGTACGTTATTATCTTTGAAATAAAATATTTTAATTAAAAGATATTTATAAAATATATACAGCTTCCATGAGCTCCTTGTAGCAGCTGACATACCCCCCATTTGTCATATCACATGTGGTATGAATTTCAAGTCTGCTGCTTTTATCTCTTGATCAATCTTTTGTTCCATCTTTTAAGAATAAAGCAACAACTGACCATATAGTAAAAAGGGCGTTCTCTGGTACATTCCAGTAATGTTTGTTAGAAGTGATCCAAGTAAATTGTAATACAGATAGCTTAGAAATATGTGAGGGCACTAAAAAAAGTTTGTGGAAAATGGAATTAAATAGAAATGTTTTTGGTGTGGACAAATTTTGAAATCCATGCATAGTTTCTTGAAGACCTTTTGTATGTACACAATAATTACCAGCCAAATAGAAGATACCAAAAAGAAAATTTCGTTGGTTCAACATTCAGCAATTACATTGTAACAAGTGCAAGTATGTAGAACAGAAAATTAAAGTTGAATCTGTAGAATGTTTTTTTTTTCCAGGTTGGGCTAATACAAAGCTCTTTTCTCCTGTTAGTCATTCTGATTATATATTCTCTGAAGTCATGTTTCAGTTTTCCAAAAAATTTTATTGGTGAGTTGGGAAGGTGGTTTTATACCCCAATGAATGTTAACAGGTGTGGTTGAGATTATGTCTGAAGTTCTGTATTTGCTGCAGTGGTTGTTTTGGGATGCTAAGCACAGGCAAGATGTTAGCTGGTTAAGGTGGTGAAACTGTCTACTACCATCAACAGATTACTCCCTGTAAGTTTGTCAGTGTTAAGCACAGAAGTTAGGTACAGTGTCTGCTCTTAAAATGTTCTGAACTAATTTGATTCTAAAACCATACAAATATAAAAGAGTTTGAAAGTCTTTTATTCTATAGTTTTAGAAAAATCCAGATCTAAGCAATTTCATACTCAAATGTAAAAAGGTAGTGTTTTCTTTTTAAAACCAGCTTTTTTTTCTTCATGTACTACATGTTACTTTTTACCAGATGACTGGCTGTAAAAGAGGGAAGCTGTAGGTCATGGTTTGAATAGGTCAAACTCAGGTAATCACTAGGTTCAATAGGGAGTTTTCTGGCTATCCCTGTTTATTTCTAAGTTAGCTGTCTGATATTCATACTGATGTATATAGTTCATTGTCCACACAGTGTGATGTCTGGAGAGTGGTGGCACCGAGTGGATTAAGGTACAACTTTCAAGAGAAGGTTGTTGCCTTCTCCACATGTCAAGACTGGTAGAATGGGTCAGTTGTTGGGAAGGTTTCCTTACGAGAAATTCCAATTGCAACTCCTCTTTTCTCTTGTTTGGGTTAAGAATTTAAAATTATTGCCCATTCTAATGTTCTTTGGTGTCATGCCATTGTTAGTTGTGCTGAAATAATGAGTCTGTTGTTCAGCCTTTAATAACTTAAAACCTGAGGTAAATGCTCCATTGCAAGGACAAATATAATTCCCAAAGTTTTGCTAAAAATAAAGGTTTTGCTCCTTCAAGATACTTGGCTTTTTGTGTTCTACAGGCCATGTACAGCCATGTTCCTATTTAATTTAGATTGTATGTCTGCTAGACTACACATCTTTCAGTGCCTGTATCCTGAATCATACGGAGTCAATGGTACATTTGAAGTATTTGGTTTTTCATTTTTTCTTTTCTAAATTGTTGCAGCAACATTCTTTCTAAATTGCTACTTTTGGTTCTTTAGGGCAGAGTCACATTTAAATTGTAAGTGATACGTAAAAAGCAAACCCATAGCTCTTTTCTGTTTGTGATTCCATTGTCTTATAGGAAAAAGATTTATATATAAATTATGTGAAATTGTAGCTTTTTAAAAAATATTTATTAATTTGAGAGAGTGAGAGGGAGAGACAGAGAAAGAGAGATCTTCCATCTGCTTGTTCATTCCCCATAGGGCCGCAACAACCAAGGTTGGACCAGGCTGAAGCCAGCAGCTTCATCCAGGTCTCCCCAAATTGTAGCTTTTAAATATATCTTCCCCCTACTACCTCCTCATCCTGTGAAACCATTTTAGATAAAATACCATAACCTGGTAAAATTGGCATTGGACGGTGGCTATGCAGTGACGATGGATTGCCATACAAGATAAAGCCAAATGCAAAAGCACTCCCTGTGTAGGGGTGTAGTTAGCCCAGGAGAAATACCTTCCCTGAACTGTCAGAAGAAATTACTGAATTCCAAAGTTGCCTCTGTCTTGATTTTTCCCTATAACGATTCAGAAGGAACCACTCCTCAGTACACGGAGAATCACGAATAGAATGACTGGGGAGAAAGGGCACTGGACTACCTGAGGGGACCCAGAGTTCTAGACACTTAGAACTGAGGTCCAGATCATCAGAGGAAGTGGGTGTTATTTAGTTGGATTATGAGAAATGAGACTGACTTTGGTTCAGCATTCCAGAGTAATCCTTTGGCCCATGATATGTCCTTAGCATATTGTACAACTTCTGCTTTGACACCACAATGGAAGATTTTCTTGATAAAGCTATGCCAGATTTGGTTTGAAAGACACTTAGACAACACTTTATATCAACTGAAACCTGTTTTGTATCCCTGAAGGCTGAGCTGAATCCTTAAGCCTTAATAAACTTAAGCTCCTTCACCGCAGCCTGACCTGCCCTTTTTTTATATACTTAAGGTATTAAAGAGTTTGGTAAATATACAATAGCTTGTTGATTATGAGCTTTGAATTTCTGTATTTACAGAAACAGTACCCCGCTTTGTTCAGGAAAGCACTCAGTAACTAGCATTGCCTCCTAACAGGATTTGCTGTGTCACTAGATTCAGTTTTCCATTCAGCACTTTTGGAGAACTTAACCATCGTTTGTGTGAAGCACCAGCGAAGCTGTAATTGTGTCCCATAAGCACATTTTTGCTCCCACATTCGAATCTTGATTTCCACTCCTGAACTTCTCCAGCATTTTGTACCTGTTTATCCAAGACAGCTGGGCTCCGACAGAGCTTCGCCATAACCAGGTGATTCCTCCCCCTCTGTTTTCCACTGAAGAGTTGTATCTGATTGCAGCATTACACTGATCCATAGTTTTCTGATTGCTTGACTTCTTGATATTGAACTGTGGCATACTTTCTAGAAGGAAGCTCTTGCTGTCATTGAGGACCTCAGATGAAAAAGTGTTTCTGGAGGTTAGAATAATTACTGCATGCTAACTGCCAAGAAGCGATCTGAGCACGTCTGTGTTAACCCCTTCTGTCCTCACAACCACCATGTGGTAGGTTTAATAACTGTCCTTATGAGGAAATGAAAGTACAGAGAATATAACTGATTTGCCCAAGGCCACACAGCTAATCAGTAGCAAAACAGGCAGTCTGACTACAAATTTTGTACTCCTAACTGTTCAGCTATTTTCTTCTCCCAGAATAGCAGGTGAGAGGATTGGGGCAGAAAGAGGGTTGTCAGTGGGGCAGTCTTAGCAAAATTCAGTGAATGTGGCATGTGAGTAGGCATTACTGTCATCCTTGACATGGAAATGTGACTTTTAAAAGAACGTTGTATTCCTCACAATGTCTGTTTCTTTTGTATGATACATATTAAACCTTGTATATATGTTTTAAGTTTAACAAATGTGCAAAACTTACACTTTGAAATCTACAAAACACTGGTGAAAGAAATTAAAGATCTAGCTAAGTGGAAGGATATCCAGAGTTAACAACTTGGAATATTTGGGGCAGGCATGTGACTCAGCGGTTACGCTGCCATTCGGGACGCCCACATTCCATAATGCAGTGCCTGGTTCAAGTCTCAGGTATTCTGCTTCTGATCCAGCTGCCTGCTAATGCACACTCTGGGAAGAAGATGGCTCAAGTACTTCTGTCTCTGCCACTCACGTGAGAGACCCAGAATTCCTGGCTTCAGGTTGTCCCAGTGCTGGCTGTAGATGGAAGAATCTCTCTCTGTCCCCCTTTCAAATAAAATGAAAATAAATTGTAAATAGCTTGGAGTACTTAATCTGGTAGCACTCTCAAAATTAATCTATATAGTGAATGCACTCCCTATCAGAACCTCAGCTGACTGCAGAAATTGACAAGCTGAAACATGACAAGCTAAAATTCATATGGAAATGCTGCAAAACCACAATGGCCAAAACAGTGTTGAAAAAGGAACAAAACTGGAGAACTCACATTTTTATTTCAAAACTTTAAAACCACAGTAATTAAGACAGTGTGATAGTGGCATGAAAAAAGGCACATTTCAGTGGAATGGAAGAGTCCAGAGGAAAAAACCTCACAATTATGGTCAGTTTGTTTTCCACAATGGTCATTTCAGAAACATTGCTGAGATATTCTGTAGGTAGAATATAAAATATAGGGAAAGCTATTACAAGTCCATAATGAAAGGATAACGCAATTAGGATGTGGACAAGAGATCCTAATAGGCAGTTGTCCAGAGAAGATACATATGACCAATAAATACATGAAAGGGCACTCGGCATCATGACCAATAAATACATGAAAGGGCACTCGGCATCGTTAGCCATCAGAGAATTGCATATCAAAGCCACAATGAGATGCACTTCACACCCCCCAGGATGCCTGGTACTAAAAGGACATCATAAGTGTTGGAATGGATGTGCAGAAATGTTTTTGAATCCTCAGACACTGCTGAGCGGACATAAAATAGTAAAAGAATTGTGCATCTGCTGTGGAACACACTCTGGTAGTTCCTCAAATGGTTCAACAGAATTGCCACAGGAGTTAGCGATTCCACTCCTAGGTATACACCCAAGAGAATGTCAAGAGAAATAAAAACATTAAGTCCACACAAAAATGTATACATGAATAGGTTATTGGTTACCTAAGGATGGGTGCATGGGAGAATCGGAGGGTGATAGCTAAGGGGGATGGAATTTCGGAGAGTAATGAAAATGTTCTAAAATTGATTGTGATGAGTATACAACTAAGAATATATGAAAACTTCACTGAATTCTATGCTTTAAGTGGGTGAGTTGTATGGTTATATGAATTAGTGGCATAACAGTAGTGGCATAAAACAACTGTATCATGCTCACAATTTGGAGAGTTAGGAATGAGTGGGGCACAACAGGAGCACTCCCTGTGACCTATGATTAAACCCTCCGCTGGGGTTGCTGCTATGGCTCAGCAAGAGTCAACAGGCTGCGGTGTACTGAAACCAGCTCCCACCAGCTTCTGGGAGAGTCGAGGGTGCACACCCCAGCTCCACTCCCAGGAACATCACGTTGGTCGTTATGGGAATGGGAAAATGCTACAAATCAGGGTTTCCCTATTTGAGTATTAGAGAAAGGTAATAGAATGGAAGGGGAAAAAATGAAATAGGATGGTGTCAGAATTCTATAAGGAGCCTACAGTCATTTTTGTGCTTAGTTTTGTTTTTTACAGAGATTTTCACATGAGGCATAGGCTGTTGGTATTTATCTCTCCCTGAGAGGGCATAAAGCGAAGATTAGACAACTTCTCGCTGCAGCAAAGCAGCCTGCCACCAGCCAGTGACTGTCCCTGTGTAACCTGCTCTAGCAGGAACGGAGGCCAGGAGCGCCACAGCTCTATCAGATGCCCTGGGAGATGTCATTTACTCTTCAAGGGCAGTGATTATAATTTCAGGTATTTTAAAGGATATGTTTTTGAGGCCGGCGCCGTGGCTCACTAGGCTAATCCTCTGCCTGTGGCGCCAGTACTCCGGGTTCTAGTCCCAGTTGCTCCTCTTCCAGTCCAGCTCTCTGCTGTGGCCCGGGAAGGCAGTGGAGGATGGCCTAAGTGCTAGGGCCCTGCACCCGCGTGGGAGATCAGGGAAAAGCACCTGACTCCTGGCTTCGGATCGGTGTAGCACCGGCCGTAGCGGCCATTTGGGGGGTGAACCAACGGAAGGAAGACTTTTCTGCCTGTCTGTCTGTCTCACTGTCTAACTCTGCCTGTCAAAAAAAAAAAAATATATATATATATATATGTTTTTGGGAGGGGAGGGGAACCCTGGCACCTTTTTTTTTGGTCCATCTTAAGGATGAGATCCTTTGGTTACTGTTTAGAATTTCCTACAATTTCGCTTTTTCTGTTTCAGTGCAAAACATTGGGAAAATATTAACTGAATCAAATTTTCAACTGTATTGCTGCTAACAGAATGCCTTGCACAATCTTTTTCTAAATTTTGTTTTTAATTGACACAAAATAATTGCACATATTTATGGAGAGCAACCTGACATTTCACCAAATCAGGGTATTTATCCTCTCCATCAAACCATACATTTACAGTTATTTCATAGTGAGACCTCTTCTAGCTATTTGGAAATCATCAATACAGTATTGTTAGCCATTATGAATAATCTTTAAATTCAGAGACTTAAAACCATACCTTCATTGGAAAACACCATGGTAAGCATCTCTGCTGTGTGCATGCATTGTAAACTCTAGGGTGCACCCTTTTCTTTAAGAAAATAAGTGGCATAAAGCATGTGAGAAGGGGTATTGTTCTTCATATTTGTTTTTT